CCTGTTCTGTGGCGTCACTTACAGATCTTGAAGCCTGTCTGCTCTGGGCAAATATAATTAAAAAAAAAAAAAGAGAGGCGAGAGGGAACAAATCAGTAGAGGAGAGGGAGCAAAGACAGTGAAGCAGCAGTTTCCCTCTGGTACAGGGAAGAGCCTAAGAGAAGTGAAACAATATTCAAATCATTAGTTCTTTTAGAGGACAACAATCTGTCAAACTTAGGATCTGAATGTGCTAAGCTGTTGTTTGCCCTTGGGGACAGAGAAGGGGAAAGAGTCTCGAGTGCTTATGTTAGCCTTTTAATACAAATACATCACCGAGGAGGTAGAGGGACTTGGCTCCTTTGCCTGAAAGGTGAAAGAGGCTATAGTGGGTAAAAAGCGGAGGGAGACCTTTTACAAGAGTGTCTTTGCTTGCCTGCTACCAAAAAAAAAAAAAAAAAGCAAGTGACTGTGGTGGGAGCAACAAAACAGTAAGAGGTTTTTTTTTTTTTTTTTAAATACTGGATAGCAATTGAAGAATAATGACGAAAGAAGGAAAAAAAAAGGAAAAAACGAAAACATTACGCTCAGAAACAATAAGAAAAATATGTTCTGCACTTAAAAGCAGCACTGAGCAGAGTATGTTCTGTAACGGGAGACAAATTGGCACAAACTGTGGAAGGGGAAGAAGTTCTGACAGAAGCAGAGGAGACCTTCTTGCACCTCTAACTGTACTACTCTATAAAATATCCAGATACTGCAAAGAGTGTGTAGTACACAATTGTTCTTTTAAAATAGGTAGTGTGATTTTTGGAGCCTTCTCTGAAACTGAGCGTGGCATTTTGAATGATTTCACATGAGTTGATAGGTTTAGCATTGATAGACTCTTGTGATGTGTGCTTTTTCTCTCTCTAGGTCGAAAATGTAACTTTGACGAGTTACGCTGTAGGAGACACAGTCACCATCACGAAAGTGTAATCGCTCATGAAATGTACTTTAGCTGTAACAAGCACTTAGCTGCTGTGATAATAGGTGCTGTGCAATCAATAAAATGGTGTAGCTACGCTCTGTGCTTTTCAAGTTGTACAAAATATATATCTAAAGTGAGACAGAAATAGTAACTTTAGTTATAACTACAGTACAAATGATTCATACAGGTGACTGAGGAAGGTATTTCTGAATTGTCAAGCTGAAAGCTTGCAGTTCTCTTCTAAGGGTTTTCTTTGGAGATGATGCGTTGTTGCGGAAGGGTGTTTTACTAGCTTCGGAGAATGGCATGTGTATGATAACTGCCATCTGTCTGTTTATGCTGCATGTTTAGAGTTAAGGTCCTGTATCCGTTTAAATGCCAATTTAAATATCCTGCTGCAGCGCTAATGTTGTGTAATAAGCCTGCCATTAGAATGATTGAAGGTCAGTCTTCCTGTGTTGCTTGGGTCCTCTATTAAACTATTTTAAAAGCGTGCTTTCAAAGGGTAAATATAAATGCAGAGAATTTTTTTCTAGGATTTGGTCTTAGATTAATAAATTACTGACTCTGTTGAACAGTTTCTGGCTCCTTATTGATGGCCCCTAGGAATTTTAACAAAACATGAGCAATATATTTATTTATCCTTCCATCAATCCTGTAAATTCTTAAATGTTCAATGAAAGGAGTAGCTCCTGAGATGTGATCACGCTCCCAGTGAGCTAGCAAGCCTTCTTTCACGAGTAGGGGCACAGCTGCCCACTGCTGTAACTCAAGAATCTGAAGGGAAAAACAAAACAGAACAAAACCTCGGGGGCTGGTGCCCTAATCGCCTTAATCCAATGTAACTTCAGGCCGCCGCCAGAAGGAGCGGCTGCACCCTGCCCCGTGCCACCCGTTCCCTGTTCCACCTGCAGCTGGGTTGCTGGGAAGCAGCTACAGGATTTCACCTCTATATCTCTACAGGGCAGTGTGCTGCACTGGGGGGAGGTTGATGTACGGCATTAATGAGAAGTGTCCTAAAGTAGAAATTCTTTGTAGCACTGGCTCCTGTGTTTATGTTCAGTAGTTCTTACACTGCCGCTCTTCAGCTTTGCCACAGATCTTTCAGTTCTCTCAAATCTCTATTCATTATAGATACGTAACATGTACTATTCTGTTCTAATTCAGTCTTAAGCTGACACTGCCAATAATGATAAATTCTGTAAAACTAGGACTCCAACTGAGAGGTCTGCAAAGTTGCTTTCCTTCGCAATTAGTTCAGCTTTTACATCAGTGTTTCTGTATGTGTGGTTGACTGGTGCTATACCTCTTAATTTACCAGTTCATGAAAAAATACTGATAGTTAAGGGTGAACACTGAGTATCTTTTAATGAAGATCTTGATGAATCTGGGAAATTTAAAAAGCCGTTGGAAGTCGGTCTGCTCTTGTTGTAAGCCGGAAGCATACCTAGATTGTGCAGCTCTCTAAAGTAACGTGTTTCATCTTGCTGCCTTGCCCCGTTTTCCCCTCCATAGAGCCGCCGATAAAAATCTTTTTTTGTAGAAGACTTGCATTGATCCTAATGAGATTCAAATAACATTTAAATACGAACGTTATGAAAAGTCAAGGCTAAAGAATTCTAAAGGGAATCGGGGGGAAGATTATCTGATATGTACCCCTTTAAGCGGGAGGACGTACACTGTCGTTCTTGGATGCTGCTGTAAGTTTACAGCTAAAAGATCACTTCAGTCTTTGAACTAGTAAAAATATTTCCAACATTTAATGTCTATTTTGAGGGTTTGTGAATGATCCAGAAGCTTCCTTGTCCTGGAAGTTGGAAGTGTTTGTCAGTGGCTGTCGACATCCATGTTAGTACAGGTTAAGTGTCACCCTCCTTTCACCGTTGTGTATGAGGGACAGTGGAATTGCTGGAGGTGCGTGTCCTAGTAAAAACACAACAACGAATACCCATGAAAGAAGCAAACTTTACCATCCCCTTTGTGTTGTGCCGTGGCAGAACTTTGTCAGTCTTGCATGTGAATGCAGATGTTGCAGACGCCAGGAAGTATTAAGCTGATGTTCTATTAAAAAATACAGCAGTCTCTGCAACTCTGCATGGAAAGAAATTCGAGTGCTACTTGTGTGTAGCTTCGTGTTAAAGATGATAGCCTTCTTGCTGCTTTCCTCACAGTACGAGAATCGAGGCTCTACACTGGTTATTTATTCTAAAGAACAGCCCTTTCTCCTAGATTAGGCCAGGTTGCAAAGTGAATTTGTCATTTATACAAAACTTACTAGCATAGGAAGAACTAGTTCCATCGCTGTTTATCTGTACTGTGGGAACAGAGATGGTTTATTGAGGCACATTGCCTTAGGACACAAACTTAACTTTAAATGTCACTTTAGAACAAGTGGGAGGAGTTCCCTGGAAGTTTTATGGCGGAAAGAAAATTTCCTCAGAGAGGACTAGCTCTTATTTGATGCAGGACCCTAAAAGGGAATGGCTTGTTTGGCAGTGCCGGCATGGTTTTATGGAGAACAGTGATTTATGCGTAACTAGACGTGCATTTTTTGTTCCCCTGTTATTTTCACTGATATTTGAAAACCAGTACATTTTGATAAGGCAAGGCTTTTCTGCATAATGTCTGTTTTTACCTTGATTTCATGGTATATATGCTGAATTTAACAGAACAGAAGAGGTGTTGTCTGAAAGTAGGAATAATCTGCTGTTGTGTGCTTGTGGGAGGGGGGTTCTGAACGTATCTCTACCGTAGGAGAACGCTTCTACTTGGCTGTTTGTTTTCCAAGGCAAGAGAATAAACGTAGCCTGCGCAGATTGCACTGAACTCCAACTTCGAAGCAATGCCGAGCGAAGAATTCGGCACAATAAATCCAAGAACTCTGCTTCTACAGAAAAAACTGTAGAAGTTCAGCTTTGGGATTGATCCTACTCTAACTGTTTTTTTTCTTAAAGAGACTTTTTGTATGGGGATAGGGGTCTCGCAGGGAAACAAGACAGTAAGAAAGCAGCCTCCGTGAAGGCAGCGTAGTTGCATCAGATACTAACGTTTGATACGAGAGATAAATTTATTGGTTTTGATACAACACATGTTACTCTCTTCACTTCCTGTTACTTATGAGTGTTTTGGTCACGTTTTAGTGGAGCTGTAGTTACTGATGTTTGTGCTAAGGCTTTGGCTTCTCTACAGTTACGCTCTTTCGAAGGCAAGGTTAAGCAGTATACGTGGCTCAACAAGGTCCTTAGACACACATCCGAAGGAGCAGTGGGTCTGTAGAAGCTACTAAATTGATAAACTGATTCAGTTTATCTATTAGTAATTTTTAACTCATCCAGGTTAGCCTGTGCCTTACTTGCAATTCGTAGAAGAATTAATAGAGAAGAACTCTTATTAGGCAACTCTGAATTTGGGACAATTTTTGGTTTGTTCTGCTGGGGAGGTGTTCCCTTCCCATACTTCTGCCCGGTGGACGTGCTTGCTGTAATCCCTCTACCACTAGGTGTTGCTGTACGAGTGATTGATATAATTTTATCTGATGCTGAATGGATTAGTCCCTAAGAAGAGGAGGAGGTATTACTGAAACGGTATCACTGCCTGTTCTGAAATTAATATTTTGAGACGTTTGTTTGAGACATTTTTAGAATTTATTGGCCCTGTTATATCTGTCATAAAGACTGTCTCTCTCTTGTGTACCCAGCAGCATGCTAGTCATTTTTCCAATTATGCAGGCTTTTCATTTGCCTACAGAGTTAGGAACTAGACTTCCATATGTCTGTAGTCTTGGTAGTGAGGAAAAAAGGCAACAGCATGCAACTCAGACAGCTGAAAAGGTTTGTGCAGAAGCTCTGTTCTGTAGCATCTGTAGCTTTTCATTTGATGTAGGGGTGGCAGTGGAAGAAAATCGTTATACGTCCCAGCACAAGGTATAATCAGTTTTCAGGAGAATTTTTTGTCCTTGCTTCATTTAGATTGTATTTTTAAGCACTGCCTTTTTTGATGAAGGAATACTTACCTCCTTGGGGGGTTGCTGTGCTTATTCTACACAGAAGTCTACAAGTAGAAGAACTCCATGAGGGTGAAGTGAAGTTATCCTAGAGAAAAATTTCATTGCATGGATTGTATAAACTCATTGGGACTGAATTAAAGCTGGAAAGGACTCTACAAGTGAATAAAACAAGAAGTTTGGAATTGGATTTGGGGAATCTGGGCTTGGAGATGCCTCAGGTAAGTCTGATGTGTTACAATCTTATTTGCTTCTGTAAGTAATTTTGCTTCCCTTCTTAAAAAAAAAAAAAAAAAAGTATAAGGGCATATTTGGCTGGCATCAACAGGGAGAATTTAGAAGAGAATAAGTGATGTCCTGTTGGTATCTACTGTGAAAGCTATGTTACTGGTCTTTTTACTATATTTGTTCATGTAGCAGAATTCAGCAAAGGTGGGTTCCTGGAAAGTAGTCTTTTATTACTGCAGTGATTCACACATCAGCACACTGACTGAATGAGCAGTACAGTGTTCCTCCCTTCCCAACCCTCAGGGCAAGTGTATCTGGAAGGGAAATAAGGGTTCTGAAATGAAAAGTAGCAGAAAGCCTGGTGGCCTGTTTCCTGTGCATCCAGTCATCCTGCATAATGTTTCTTCACAAAGTTCCATTTAGTTCTCAAGGAACGTAAAACAATTTAGTTGTATTCAGTTTTGTATAGTTACGGTCTCAGATAAAAGTTGTACAGGTTCTAATAGTTTTAAAAGCAGCCAACACTGCTTTTGTAGGAAATGGTGCATATTAGGATGAGGGCCCTGCAAGCGTGTAGTGCCTACTGATACTCCCAGATCTTGCCAGTACTCGCCCTCTTCTACAAATGCTAACGTATCCCTAAACTTGCCAAACGCATAAGAATTTCAAACCAACAAAAAAGAATGAATGAGCAATGCTCTTGCAGTTACATGATGAATACAAATGTGTCCTTTGTGATTAAAGTGCTGAATGTTGCTAGCTGGCTCTTGAAACATATTCTCTCCCTCCGAGAAATGACACGCTTATCTGTATAGGTAAAAATATTCCAACTGCAAGTATGAGTTCAAAGACTTGAATGAAATCTTTTATGTTCAATTGAAGTAAAGAACATGCCTTTCTATAGCTTGTGCCAACATTCAATATGAATTTTATTGTAGCCCAGTGTGAGTGGAATGGACCCTCCTTTTGGGGACGCCTTTCGGAGCCATGTGTTTTCAGAGCAGACTCTGATGAGCACAGATCTCTTGGCAAGCAGTTCAGATCCAGACTTCATGTATGAACTGGTAGGTCATCTTTCTGTGTGTGTGTGTGCATGTGCATGTGCGCGCGCGCACTCACGCACGCATAACTCCCTCTTCTTGACTAATACCCTGAATTCATATAGTAATAAAAGGATATTTGTTCCAGAGTGCTAGATGATTATTTGTTAGTGCTTGTTACTGATCAGGAAAGAGCCTAACCGCTTGTCTAGCAAATGTGATGCTTCATCAATAGCCGCTTGTTCAAGCTGGGCAATAGGAGAGGCTTGACACACAACTCTCGAGTTGGAACTGTGTTGATGTTATGTAATGGGGCTTGAGACTCTTACTTGCAAACAATCTTTTCTGCAAGAGCAGCTATCTGCTATTTCAGCCAAGCTGTGAATGCAAGAGAAGCAAAATAAAAGTTGACTCATGAGCTACTTATGTTCGCTTTCATTTGTTTTTCTTGCTTCGGAGGAGAAAGATAGCTCACACTCATTAATCGATCTGGCTAGAATGAGGCTTTCCAGGGACTACTGAGCCTATTCTGTTGATCGCACAACGAAGTTTGACTTCAGTTAATGGAGACTAGAATGGTTTGCCTTTGATGTCTTTCATATTTGAAATGCATGGATGTTGGTCCTGGTCTAGTTCCTAGTGATCAGATGAATCTGCGATAACAGAAAAAAAAAAAAAAAAAAAAACATCAGCACTTGACTTATATCTTTAGCTGTATTTTCAGAAAGATCTGTAGCTGGAGCATGAAAATTAGATTTCAGTCTGACTGTCAAAACAAGATTTTAGTTGGAAGTTGAGGTGTCTTCATGTGTTATCAGTCTCTTATACTTCATTGGAATTAGGTTTACCATTTAAGTAGAGGACAGAGGGTTTTTTGTTTTAAGCATACTAATTTTTTGCTTGTCTTATTGTGCACAGGACAGAGAAATGGACTATCAGCAAAGCTCCAGAGACAACTTACTTTCCATGGAGGACTGCAAAGATCTAGAGAGTTTTGAGTCTTTTACGGACATCCTGGACAAAGAAGCTGCTCTCACCTCAAAGTGGGAGCAGTGGGATATGTACTGTGAAGACTTAACTAAGTACACTAAACTAACCAGTTGTGATATCTGGGGAACAAAAGAGGTGGATTATCTGGGCCTTGATGACTTTTCAAGCCCATACCAAGATGAAGAAGTGATAAGCAAAACGCCAACTCTGGCTCAGCTTAACAGCGAGGACTCCCAGCCTGTTTCAGATTCGCTTTATTACCCTGATTCCCTCTTTAGTGTAAAGCAAAACCCTTTAAATTCTCTGCTACCTGGCAAAAAAATTGCAAGCAGAGCAGCAGCCCCAGTCTGTTCCTCCAAGAACGTTCAGGCTGAGGCACCTTTGTCGGACTATGTTCAAAAGGCAAGCAAACCTGCAGCTCAGCCTGCTTCCAGCACACAAATCATGGTGAAGACCAATATGTACAGTAACGAGAAGGTGAACGTTCATGTTGAATGTAAAGACTATGTTAAAAAGGCAAAAGTAAAGATCAATCCTTTACCACAGAGCAGACCACTGCTGAGCCAGTCACATGCAGATGCAGCAAAGGAAAACACCTGCTATTGTGGTGCTGTAGCAAAGAGACAAGAAAGAAAAGGAGTAGAGTCCCCACATAGTCACAGTACTCCTGCTTTGCCTTTTAAAGAGACTCAAGAGCTGCTCATCAGTCCACCCCAGGAGACCCCAGGGCTTATTGTAGGAGAGAGCAGTCTTTCTGCCAGCACATCAGTGTTGGATTCTTCGCAGAAGAAAGAAGAGCACAACTATTCTCTTTTTGTCACAGACAGTTTGGGTGAGCAGTCAGCCAAAGGAGACCCTGAAGAAGATGAGGATGATGAGGAAGATATTGAAGATGAGGACCACGATGAAGGATTTGGTAGTGAACATGAGCTGTCTGAAAACGATGATGAGGAAGAAGATTATGAAGATGATAAGGATGATGATATCAGCGACACTTTCTCAGAACCAGGTACCAGCAATATTGGGTTTTGTTAAGGTTAATGAATCTAAGGTTAATGAGTCTGCTGAGTGGGAAAGAATGATTTTTGAATGCTTTATAGTTACAGATGAACAACACTGAAAATCTAGGGTGAAAGCTGGTAACTTAAGATCAAAGCGCTTTGTAAAATGTAATTAACGAAAGCTTCACGACATACATGTGTTTCCTGTTTCAAAAAAAATAGATAAGCTGTGGTCATAAAACAAAAATGATGATAGAGAATACAGGAAGTCTAGCTTGCAGCCTAAGGTCATTAAAGCAACTACCTGCAATTGTTGTCTTCCTTTTGGTGGATTGATAATAGGACGTGCAGAGCTTTCTAGTGCTTCGGCAGGCCGCTGCCTTGAATATATTCAGAGCTGTAACTCTTGATAGCTGTTATGAAATCATAGCCTAAGTAAAATCATTTCATAATCTATGTAAGTCCTACTGTATTTATGGTTTTCCACAAAATCCAAAAAATACATGCTGTTGAAACTAATAGAATGATTTCTTAGTGGTTTTCAGCAGTAACACTAAGTGGGTCTGCGAAGGATACTGAATTCTTCTTCTGCATGTAGAGAAAGAGCATTAACGACAAAAATAAGAATTAACCTTCACCTAGAAGGTAACAAAGCAGTAATGTTCTGTTTAAAAAAAAAAAAAAAAAAGAAGAAGAAAAGAAAAAACAAAAAAACCCTGTGGAGAGAAAGGGGCAGAACTGTAACTAGGTATTAGTTTAATTGTAAGGGATATAATATTCACATTTTATAAATGCTTTCTAGTAGAGTAGAAGAATTAAGGTATTCAAACATTTGGCAATACGTAACTTTAGGGATAAAAAAAAAAAAAGGGTAATTGAAATTTTCCCTTTTAAAACAGCAGCTTCCCTAAGGCACACTAATGTTTGTCGTAATGAACTCTAAGATCAGATCAGTTATTTTGGAAGGAGATTTCCCGAGTGGGCATTAAACTTGTTAAGTGTTATGCCCTTTATGTTGCCTTTACGTGTACATAACGCATTTTTATTAGCATTTTAAAATCTCTTCCTCCCATCTTCTGAATTGAACTCCCTCTACTTATTCTTCCTTCTGAGGCTTTGAGTAGCTATTACAGCTCTCTATAATATAACATGATTGCCGAGCTACGCAGTGCCTTGCAGCCCACAGAGGCACGTTGCACGGAAGGTTTGGTAATCTTGAAAAAGAGAAGTCGTATTAAAATGCTGGGATTTCGGTTGGTGGAATTGTATTAACTGCTTGCTGCTTTTGAAATTTTACTGACAAGCAGTTGCTCCCAGCATCTAAATACACCTACGTGGAGCAGCGCAGCCCCCGAGGAACTCGGCCGGTACGTGCTGACTAGAACTTTTAAGTAAATGAAGCCATTCACCTTGTGTGGTGATACTAAAAGGTCATATCCCCGTGTATTTTTATTATATTAGACGATAATGTCTCCACGTATTTTACTTACATCACACCGGAACTTTGTATTGCCTTTTTTACCTTCAAAGTTAAGGTAAATACTATGGAAATATATTCTAAAAATGAACATGGCGTTGGAAGATTTAACCTCCTATGGTACTGAAACCAAAATCAGTTCAAAAATTTAAAGCAAAGGTGTATTTTGTTAAAAGGACAAAGACTTACTTAGTTGTTATTGACCCTCTGATGTATATATTTTATACATAGTTTGCTTTTATTTACTCTTCTTTGCATGTGTTTTGGGAGCGCATGAGACACTGCTTAACCAAAATCAATTTGCTCCCCTTAACTGTTGTTTTTAAAGGGCCTCTCCATATATGTATAGGGCTGTACATGAATCCTCCTTTTGTCTTTGAATTTCTGTAGTGTGTGTATATATATAGAGAGAGAGAGAGAGAGAAAAGTTGATAGGTTAATATGCTGACTTTAAAAACCTGATATTTGCATTTAACTTTTTTCAGTATTTTGAAAATTTATTGTCCTCTTAAATTGGTCTTTGGTGTATATGACTTCCATGCTTTTGCTGTAGGTTAAATAGAGGTCTAGTCTGACCATTGAGATTAAAACAAGAGATTAAATGTAAATGTTTTCTTAAAGGTATGGCTTACTGTTGTCTAAGGAAATACTTAGATGCGCTGAACTTCAGAGACTTGTAGAAATAACTAAAAGAATGTGACTAGTTATCAGGCAAGTTTGGGCAGCAATGGTTTTTTTATTATCATGATACATGATATAGCTGTAGTGATTTTGATCCCCTCTAAAGCCAGTTTATTCTAGGAATTATCAACCCAGGCCTGTTCTGGCATTTAAACTTTTTTCACCATTGCTAGTGTACTTTATTGTAAATGACTAAGGGACATGTGGCAGTTGATTCGGTCTTCAGTAGTACTGGAGCAGAGAAGAAACAACTAAAAAAGTAAAGGGCTTGTAGAGATAAGGGGATTTTTTTTTTTTAAAGAAGTTGCACTGCATTTATTCTGAGCACCTATACCACCAGCTGGGGAAAAACATTCGAAGTGGTTTGACGGAAGTCAGAATGATTAAATGGCCGAGTTAGAGAAGGGGTTTTTGTTTTTTGTTTTTAAATCTGTTAAGCTGCAGAAGTCATGTCTAGCCTGATCTCTCTCTCTCTTAAAGTAACCCTTGCAAAACCACAGTAAGGGGTACAAACCAAAAACTTATAGGAGTGACTTGCTGGCAGCTTGGAAGTTAAGTGCAAGAACGCTTTCAGATTGGTTAGAAAGCCACCGAAGGAAGTGAGGCTGCTCTATGAGCTTGGCGTAAGAGGAGAATTTGAGAGAGAAGCACCCGGGGCAGAGAGCTAGCGGGCCTGTGGCGCTGCCGTGCGCCGTGGCGGGCTTGGGTAGGACGCTGGGCGCTCGGCTGTCCTGTGCAACTTGCAGCTGATCGCAGGCCAGCGTTAGAGTAGCGAGGTAGGATGCGTTACGTCAACGTAATTTAAATTGCCAACTTAATCGTGGCTTAAATAAGCAAACGGGAAATCTTGATTTTAACCTGGTTTTACGTTTGTACTCATCAGCTCATGAAGAGATTTGTTTTTGTTGGTTGCCCTAATTATGCGCAATTGTGAAGATGGGCTACGTTTATACATGTGTGTATAATGAGTTGCATAGCTTGATGTGCTTTTAAAGTGGTAAATAAGTGGGGTTTGGGGGGGGTTATGTGTTTATTTTTTAGATTATTTTGATGTTTATGTCAAACAGCTTCCGGATTAAACTGAAGTTCAATTAAAAATACTTACGGAATTTGAGACTATATTTTAAGATATTTACTACAGTCATTTTGACTACGCAAGAGAAAACGTCTTTCAGAAAGCACGTTTTATTGTTCAATTCGGTTCAGTTCGTTTTGTTTAAAATACCGTCTTTTTATAAATTAGTGAATCCAAGTAAAGAAGTTGTTGTAGTGATTAGAAAGAGGACTTTGGAATGGATTTCGTCCTTCTGTACCTAACCGTTACTCACGCTTTGGAGTGCGAGGTGAGGGAGAGTCAGACCAAAGCAGGAAAGTTTGTTTTTCCTCTTTCAGCTGGTTTCTCAAGTGCAAATGGAATAATTGGATGGACTTTTTGAAATAAAGAAAGTATTCCTTGTGCTACTATTGAAAGATGATGCAGCGCTTTAGCATATGGGGCCAAGGGCTGTTAAGCTTGCAGCCCATTTAGCGGTTGGATTTTTCTTTAAGCTTCAGCAGTGTATGTGATGTTTTGAAACGTGTTCGTTCTTAATTAAATGTAAAATATTATTATTACTATACAATATTATTATTGTATAGTATTTCAGTACAAAAGTTGGTATAATTTTTTTTTACCTTTGCATAGGTTGTCTAAATTTCATTTTATAAAACATATGTAAGATTTTAAAAAATGTGTCTTAACATAATTGTGGTTTAAACATTGTGTTGCAATCTGAATAGTGGCGTTATGGTCTCCATGTATTTCAAGAACAGTCGTACCAAGTACATCATAACGTAACTCTAAAATACTGCGCAGTTTTACTGTGGATCGTTTCCCTTTGTCCCACCGAAGAGGTAAAGGAAAGAGACGGAACGGTTTGTGTCCAGATCCCTTCCATTTATATATTCTTTACTTACGGGCTTTAGTGCGTAGGCCTGATAACGGAGCCCCCATACTGGGACTTGGTCTTCCTTTACTCTAATAGAGATGAGTGGTTTGATTTATTTCCCAAAGCTGTTTAACTGCAAGGTGCAGCAATAATTTTGCTTTGTTTATTAGTCTTTTCCTAATCCGTCTTTATTTTGATTATCCTTTTCTCTTTGTGTACGTTGTGATTGAAGACTAATTAAAGGTGTGGAGGAGAGTTAGGATTATCTTCCTGCAAATCAAGGGAGGAAAAGATGAAGGTGGAATAACACTGTCCAACAGCTGTCATCTGTACTCCGCAGTAGTGAGATTGCGGGGGAGAAAAGCGATAGGGCTGACGGGGTCGAAGGACAGAAAGGGACTTTCGATGCATAAATAATTTTTCTCTGTTCAACAAATGACGAACCATCACGGGCTGAATGGCTGTTCCAGGATTTAAGGCAAATACCTCGTAATAGTTGAAGCTGAAAACTGAGTCCCTTAGATAACGTGGAACAGGCCGTTGTCTGCCGTCTTGAAAACTTAGTCCACAGTTAAAAGGTTAGAAACAGTCTTGTAAACGTTAAATAAACAACATGATGCATTCTTTTAGGATATGAAAATGATTCTGTGGAGGATTTAAAAGAAATGACGGCCATATCCTGTCGGAAAAGAGGCAAACGAAGATACTTTTGGGAGTACAGCGAGCAACTAACACCGTTGCAACAAGAAAGAATGCTGAGGCCGTCTGAGTGGAGTCGAGACACGTTGCCAAGTAACATGTATCAGAAGAATGGTCTCCATCACGGTAAGTTTATTAATAGAGTCCTAGTTACTAGTGAATGCCTTCACTGAAGGCTGACACCTTAGTAGCCCAACTCCTACGCCTGAAATTGCTGAGAAGTTGTGTTTTGGCCGTGAAAATAAATCATTAAAACACTAATAACTGTTGCTCAGTTAGCAAAGCGCAGCACTGCCTCCAAGGAAGGCACAGGGACCGTACAGTAGTAACTTTCAGTGTGGTTTCTTCCAGAGGAAGGTGGATGAATTGATAATTGTAACTTGCAAAGGTTTTTGCTGGAAACCCCAAGAGTCGCAACGTTTTTTTTTTTATAGTTGCGAGACTGTAACCGTCATGGATGGATCACATGACTGATGTTTGCTCCTGGAAGCTGTTAGACGGTTTCAGTATCGCTTATGTTAGAAGCAAGCTGCCAGTGGTCTGAGATGCAAAGTTCACTTTATCTGCAGTATGAGGTGAAGGACAGGCAATAGGCTTAACTGTGTCCTTTTGCTTCTCCCTACTTGTTCCTCCCACCGAGGCAAACGCAACTCAGTGAAGCACTTCCTCTGCTGTGAATAAACTTTTTCTTTAACATACCCTCTTGGGAGCTTAAACCAATTGATCCAATAACTATATTTTATTGCTATAAGCTTTGGATTGCCAACTTGCTGTACTTCCAGCATGGCTAACCATCACTGAGAACAAACCCCTCTTAGGAATAATGTTTGTTTTCTTGCTGTAGGACCTCTTTGGCATGCTGTTCCCTTTAACAAAATGAAGACAACTTATTTGGTCGTAATGTTAATGTTCTCTGACAATTGCAAATTATTATCTTTAACACTGGTGCTTACCTTCCATTAAATCATTAGGTTTTTTTGGTTCCTTTTAGATTTATTCAGGGAAGAAAACCTTTTTTGTTTTTATCTTTTTTAGTTCTGCTTAGTTTTCATATGCATTGGTTGCAGTGAAATAGCAATACCTTCAAGTCCCTACCGATACTGATTTTTATGAAGGCATATGTTCTAGGTCAGACTTCTATACTTGTTTGTTTGTTGTTTGGTAACATGCCTTGAGCACCCAGTCCCTCGAGAGGCAAGTGCCCTTTAACTTAGTGAGATCTGTATGCAAGAGGTTAATAGAATCAAACACGATTTAGCGTCCAGAAGCTGCAAAAATACAATGCGTGCAGGATTTGTTTTCTTTTCTTTTCCTATGCACGCGTGTACCAGGGTCGTCATCTACCTCACATATATCATGCTCAGTATTAGCTCTCTGACAAATATTTCTGGCACAGATTTTGTCAGTTCTGTTACCGTTTTCATGCAAGTATCTGTAACCGCTGGCATTTTTCAGCGAAAATCCAGAAAGAGACACGTACCAGTGGCAGAATATCTTAAGGAATACAAATTTTATCTAGAATACGTGTGTTTCCTCAGGAAAACCTGGCCTGGAATAGCTTCAAACACATCTAAAAGGGGCTGGCTATCCCTTACTTGGATCATTTAAGATTATTATCACTGAAGATCATTGCAGTACCAGGTCTCTGCACTCTTTCTGAATGCAAAACTTTAGCCGTGAGATTATTTAGGAACGTAACTTGTGTGAGAGAGAATTTACTGGCTGAACGCAGAGTTAGCAGGTTAGGGTTGGGGCAAAACAAGTGGGTTTGGACTTGTGACTTACTTTTTTCAGGCCGATTGCACGCGTACTGTCCATCACTTCCAGTTCATTTGTGTCCTGGCCAGCAGTATTTGCTCTTATCCGATCCGGATATAATATGAATTGTACAAAGTTGTTTTTCTGGAAATGCTGTTTCTATTGTGAAAGGCTTAGGGATCACAGAATTCTATTCTGTTCTTTTGTAATGAACAAAAGAGCTTAACCTACACCAAAGAATAATACATATCTAAGAATGTTTTTTCACAGGTTTGTATGCGTATTCTGTCACTTCCCAACCCAATTTTCTGCATATTCAAAACAGGAAAATATGCAGCAAAGAAGTCACGGAGGACTGATGTAGAAGACCTGACTCCCAACCCCAAAAAACTTCTACAGATTGGTAATGAACTGAGGAAACTGAATAAGGTGATCAGTGACCTGACACCAGTCAGTGAACTTCCTTTAACTGCCAGACCGAGGTCAAGAAAAGAAAAGAACAAACTGGCTTCCAGGTAAATCTTAGTTAGCACTACTTGGATGAGTATATTGGGATTACTTCAGCTGTATGAGTAAGACCTAACTAATTTTTTGCCTCAAGAGATTCTGCTTCATCGTAGCAGTCCCCGTGACAGGTTTATTACCCGTTTATCAAAAAGCACGGCAACTGCGGCTTTTGAGATCTAGTTTGTTCCCTAGATAATGATTTATTTCCATTGGAAGCTGGCATACTTGGCTGCAGGGCAAATGCTCGATTTGGTGATAAAATGTGAAATGTAATCAACTATAGGTAGCAGCATGCTTTCAGTGAGGGTGAGTGAGTAGATGATTTTGTACGTCACAGCTCTGCGAGTATTGGTTAATAAGAAGTTCATGTGGCTAGTAGAAACAGATGCTCTTAGTATTCCGGAAGTTTTGAAAAATGTTCTAATTCTTCTTGCTATAGGGCTTGTAGACTAAAGAAGAAAGCCCAGTATGAAGCTAACAAAGTAAAACTCTGGGGTCTCAACACAGAATATGGTAAATATGACTCTTCGCTTGTTAGTTTTTCTTAACGTTCTTAATGCAAGGCTCTGATTTGCATCTTCATGTAACCTGGGTCATAACTGGCAGTTTGCCAAGAAAACAGTGCTGGTGGCCACTTCATAGAGTGAGCATAAGTTGGGTTACCTGCAGTGTTGAGCTACTTTACAGATAATGTAATGGTTTTGTTTGGATTGTCTATAATTTTACAGTAAGTGAGATGTGACACCTTTAACACTTTTTCTAGATAACAGTGTGTGGACAACTGAATATTTCTTTTGCTCCAGAATGAATATAGTGTAATCCTCATCTAGATTTTTTTCTTTGCAGATAACTTACTGTTTGTGATCAACTCTATTAAGCAAGAAATTGTTAATCGAGTGCAGATTCCTAAAGATGACAGAGGAGTCAACATGGAACAAAAATTGAATGTGCTTATTAAAGATACTCTTGGTAAGCAGTAAAATTAATGTGTTTGCATGTATATGAAGAGATTTGTGGGGTGTTAGATCAAGAACTATTTTTGGAAAAGAGGAAAAAAAAAGAAGCGCTACCTAATTATAAGCTGTCTAGGCCTTTTCGTGGTTACTAGCCAAAATGTTCATTGGCTTTATATTACTCGGAGGAATGTGCGAATAAGTGCAATTAATAGTAATCTTATAATGTACGTTACTAACTTTCCTTTTTAGGACTACCTGTAGCTGGACAGACATCAGAATTTGTGAACCAAGTTTTAGAGAAGACTGCAGAAGGAGACCCCACTGGTGGCCTTGTAGGGCTACGAATACCAGTGTCAAAAGTTTAAGACATCGCTTCGCCCGTTCTCATCGGTCAGATTCTACCTGTATTGTCAAGTACTTCATTGTAAATTGCATTCTGGTCTGCATGTCAGTTTAGCATTACATAAACACTCACAATTAGGTTCCATTGTTTTAAATAACAATGTAGTAAAATAAATCAAAGCATGATATAAAATGCTTAATAGCATTTTTGGAGCATAAACCAGATAGTTTCAAAGCTGCTTTAGGCTTAACTGCAGATATTAGGGTTCTTTTTAAAATTAAGTTATCTAGGACCAGACTATATCATTTTCGTTTTGGAAGCAAAAACAAGTTTTTGCTAGTGAAAGTTTTTAGCGTATGCCAGACGTTGTGGCAGGTTTATGCTCCAACTAAAATAAGAGGAAGCTTTTTTTTTTTTTTTTGGTAAAAGCTTTTTTTTTTTTTTTAGAATTATTGAATTTTCTTTATTCTTCTAAAAAAAAAAAAAACAATAAACAGCAAACTTTCTTTGCAACCATTAACTTGTACATAGCACACGTGGCATTAGAGCTGGTGTGCCATATAAGACTTTAATTTTCTGAGCTTAATATAGTATTTAAATGTCTGTGCAAGTAAGAGAAAAAAGTATATTCTTTGTGCCTTGTATTTTGGGGGGAGAGCTATCAGTATAAGCTGGTAAAGTTTTTGTATGAAGAAAACCCTGAGGGAAAAACAAGATGTATAGATGGTAAGATTATAGGTTTTAATGTATTTGTTCCAGCTCTTAAAAATTTTGAATGTATATAGGAATATGTTGAAAATGTAGATATATGCCACAGAGTCTATGTATTGTATAAAAGATGGCTCTAGAAAACTTAATTTCGGTACTTTGGCCGGAAGAAAACAAATACTTGCACATTAATGCGATTGTTTATTTTTGTACCAAAGACAAATGCAACTGATATGGCGAACTGCCAGTCTAAGTAAAGTTTTGCACAGCTTATATGATACTGTACTGAATGTAAAAACAAAAGAAAAAAGAAAAAAAATTAAAGGTCAGGGTTAGGGATCTTACTGAACTGTGAATTTTTTTGCTTGGGTCCAATTATCTACAGAAGGAGCATTCATACATAACAATATTATTTTGCTGTTCTTGTAGTTCGCTTCCATGGTAGATAAGTTGGTGGCCGTCTCGGAGTCTTTAAATCTTTTTTCTCTGCACTTACTGTAGGAGATTTTAATATATTTGGATTTTAGTAAGCTATTGGTAAAATAGTTTTCAACTTTGAGAATTTAAAAAAATATTTAGCTTGTTGTAGTATACTTCCACCAAACAACCAAAATAAAATTATTTTTATTGTAATGTGTATATATGTAAAGAGAAAAAAGAGCTACAGATATCTAATTCCTTAGTTGCCACTTTTCCAGTTGATGTATTATTATGCATGTGATGTTTCCAAGGATCAACACAGGCTTAAAACAAAAAAAAAAAATTTATAGACTTTTATATTTTTGTACAGGTATTTCGAAACTAGCTTCTTCGAACTTATATGTGACTTATTCTTGTTAATTCAGTAGTTTCTATGATTGGGGTATATTAACACACAGTTCTTATTTGCTCTTCTGCTAATAAGAGTTGGCTTTGTAGTCAGTGTTAAAGTACAGATTAAAAGCTTTAGCCCTTGATGAGAAAGTCCTTTATCTCAAGGCAAGATCATTCTCTGGTTTCATGGACCCCCCTTTTCCTCCCTGTTTTTTCTCTCCCTATTTAAAATGACAAAACACTGTTTACTGAAAATAGAAATACCAAATACTTTCAAATGTAGCTGCTGAAAAAAAATGCAAAAGTCCATGAAGGCTTTCTCCCCGCTCCCTTTGGGGAATTTCTCCATTTCTCGTTTGTCTAAGTTTGTACTGTGATTCCTTTTTGTTTATATGTAGATTATTTTTATATCCAAGCTTGTACTATTAAAAAAAAAAAAAGTCTGAATCGGTAATAGTGCAGTAAGAGTGACAGATGAAGGTGGCAGTCCCGCCACCTACTTGCGAGTGTGCACACAGCTTACTTTGCGTCTAAATATTCTGGAAGACTCAAAAGGGAGGAGGAGGCCAAAATACCACTACTGAGCTGTACAGAAAGCTTTTCCTTCAAGAGACTGAACAAATACCCAGGGCAATTTAGGCAAAACTTTGAAAATCCACTTAAGACGTGCAAAATCTGAGTGGAGTTTGGGTGTTTTTGTTTCAGGTGTTTTTGTTGTTGTTCTTGGAGTGAGGTGAAAGTGAGAGTTGGCTGCTTCTTTACACAGTGGGTCAGATGTATTCCTATTGTAAGCATTGCTGATGTTGCAGTTATTCCAGAGATGCATATGGCCCATAAAACCTCGACAAAGAATGTCTCTTGTGAAGTTAAGGCCGTGTCTATACCGAGATTTGAATGCTGTGGTTCCTCTCTCGTGAATGGTGTTCGCACGCTGCTCAGATGAGAGAGGTCCTCATGCTGTTTCAAAACTGGGTAGACAAGGCAGCTTTTCTAAATATTATGAAAGCAGTTTTGCAATCAGGTAAAAACTTTTGTGACAAATTAAACTGACAAGGTATTAAAAAGCCCCTTTTTGCTGCTCGGGAATACTGAGCGAGTATAACTATATAGCTTTTTATTTTTGTCTGAAAACCAGAATATGATTTTGGTCGAGCATTTCAAAGTAGACTTTGAACCTTTAGTGAATTCCATACCCTTGCATTTCAGTGTTTTCTATGTATTATTTTAAGTTAAAGCTTTTAAATAGTTGAGCTTTTTAATGTTGACACTTTATTTTGTACCTATTTATATGTATGTATATCTTAGAAAAGCACTTTGTTTAAAAAGAAAAAAAAAAGAAACTGCGTTTTATATGATTCTTGCCACTTGCTGCTAACTCTGGGCTGGTCAGAATGCTGCAGCGATACTTGATATAAATAAAACCTGGCAGTAAAATGTAGAGTAAAGATAAGACCTTTTGCTGGTTTAACTTTATCATAAAGGTGACATAGGCAAGCTGTGCAGCTTTACATTTTAACCAGGGGACTCTGTGGCATTTAAACCGTCTAGAAATGGTTGTACTTTAATGCCAGTAACAATCTGCTTCCTCTAGTGTCATTAAAATATATACATTTAGTGTATACTTATCACAAACAAAAATCTTTATAAGGGTATAAAAAACAGCAAATGTACATGTTCTGTTTTTTGGCAATTGTGGCATGCATTTTTGGATGATCTTTAGAGAAGACCATTTTCTAAAGATTTTCGGTGTTCATACATGGTATGTGGATCTTAATGAAGTCCTGGATTTTTTGTTTGTTTTTGAGTGTAGGCATTGTGAGTATTCACTTTTAATCCTGTATCCAAAAACAATTATACATTTTTGATTTAATACAAGCAAAAGCTCTTCCTTTATCTGATACACTGGATTCTCTAGAATTTGTTTCCATATTAAAAGCATGCTGTCATAACTGCTCTTGTTGAGATCTCGTCAGTCTGAACTTAGGTGCCACACTTTTTGAATTGATGGACTGCTTGTTCTACTGTACCATGTATGATTCTTGTCCTTTCCTACTTCCTTCATGACAGATTATGATGTGGCTTTATATTGTGCCTTACTTGTACGTCTAGAACTAAATGTTTTTCATTCCCCCGGAACTCTTCAAGCCTAACCCTTCTGAAAGCGAATCAGAACTGATAAAAGTGTCCTGAAGAAAGTTTGGATAGATCTGATTTCATTTCCTCTCAATAGTAGCCACTTTGTATTTATATGGAAGACCAGTTTTTGAATGGTCTTGCAAAATTTGGGGGTCCTCAGGGGGGGGGGGGGGTGTTTTTACGCCCTAAACCCCCTTTGCTAACGCTTTCACTTCCATGATTTATTGAACACGCTTACGGATATTTGTTGAGTACTTTCTTTGGATGAGAGGGAATTAGTTACAACTAAAGCTATGTTTAGGTGTGGATGGGCTGGATTTTCTTATCATACCAGTTTAAATCATTGTGATTTAATGAAGTTGCATTGCTGTAAAGCTGATGCGAGAGTCGGGCTCAGATGTGTTCATTTCCTAATTCTTATGTATAGCAGACTTTTTCCGTACTGAGAGAAGTGGGCCAGGAAAAAGTTTTTAACAAAACATAAAACGGATGAAGGGTTGTTTTAACTAACGTAAAAGGAAGCAGATGCTTCTGAAATACCGTGGTGTCAGTTTGGATTTTGTTTGAAAAACAAGACACCCCCCCAACCCAAACAATTTTCTGATATTTGCCTTCATTAATAAAACAGCTTATTCACAAAATGTAAAGAATGGATGTGCTTTTCTTTTCCGTACATCATTTAAACATAGCTATTTTTTTAAAGCTGTAAAAGGCTTTATCAGGAGAATTTCAAAGGGTTGTTTCAAAGTTGCCTTCAGCAGAAATAGCAGATGCAATTCTGTTCCTCAAACTTGCTTGCTAGTCTTCCTGAAATTCTGTTGAGGCATAACCCAATTATGTAACACGAATGTTAGGATCTGTATTTGGCCTTGCGACCTGAATTTCAAGAACGCACCTAATCATGATTTTTATTTTACTTTCAAGTTAGAGGCTTCAGTTGGAATCATCTAGTGAGGTGTGCTGCTAGATGTGGTCTTGGCTTATTGACACAGCCTTGCACAGAGCTGAAGTTTATTTGTTTACCCCAGGGATCGTGTGAAGTACATTTCAAACAGTTACTGTTTCAGTGACTGATTCTTCTTGTAACTGTATTAAGGGCATTAGTATGTTGAGAAAACAGCACTCTTGAATATCTCCCAATATAAATTGGGATTCTTAAATGTCGTTAATGAAAGATGGCAATACTAGGTTATATCTTCTTCACAGCATACAAAATGTCTATATCTTTCTCTGATTTACATTTCACAATATGCCATGTTTTTCTCCCCCAATGCTTCTAGCATGGTAAGGAGGTGTGTGTGCGCACTGAATTTATAATCCTCAGCCTTTCAGACATTCATGAACTTCCACAAGAGCAAATCCTGACTATGCATTTATTGTCTTTCTAATGAGCAGTGGAGCTAAAAGTGAAGCGAGAGCTATTTTAAAACACAGTTTTTTCATGTCAATAAAAAAAAAAAAATCCAAGCTCTTTAGATAACATCAGTGTTAGGGGGTTTTCTTCATTTAAGAATATTTGATGTTTAGGTACCTGAATTAACCCCAATTTGGGTTAAGTCAACTGGCTCAAGTAAGAAAAACTTCTGGATTGGATTTAGGACTGACAAAAGCACCCTCCAGCCTAACAAAATCTTCTGCTTAAAAAACAGAATCTAGTTTGAATCACCTATCCTAGAATAGTATTTCATCTAAGTAAAACTTCTCATTGCTCAGTATTTGTGGTTGAGTGAACTCTTAAGGCTGATGGCACACGCAGACATAGGTGGTTGAAAGGCAAGGGGAAAAAAAGCATTTTAAAGAAAACATGGTATCCTGCTCTGCCTATGCTTGGGGTCATGACTGTAATGCTGTCCTTGACATTCTGTAATCAACTTCCAACTGGAGCTCAGAAAAACTTATTGAAAGTCTTGTCTCTGTTAGAAAATAAATTTACCTTGTTAAAAGCATGATCTGTTAAGAGTTACAATGTTTAATGTTGGTTAATAGTTGTGCAGTTTTTCTTTTCTTTTTCTGTCCCTGAAAAGAGGCACAATTAAACTATTGACTTTGTTTACTCTGTCACCCTTGATCCCTAGCACTTCTATTCAGATACAAATTCATCAATGTATGCAACATCCTTTGTAATTTAAAATAAAAATTGTGGAGGAAAAATGGTCTCAAATCGTTGTATGCGTGGAGTGACCTTGAACGGTGCCGTACTCTCTTAAACGCTCTGCCGTGGGGCTCTGCGTTCAGTAGGGCATAGCTGCTGTAACGCGTTGACTCGGGCTTCCTCCCAGAAACGTGGGCCTGACGTTGCGGGAAGCTTCAAGCGCTCGCTCCCTCTGTGCCGAACGGGTACGAAGGAAAGGGTGTCAGTGTCCCCCTGCTGCGCTGCGGTTTTCCTGTGGAAGGAGTCACTGCTAGGTAAGGAGACAACGGGCTGGTTTCTCCTAGTCAGTGCTCATAGTAACAGCTAACGCGCAAAGCTGCCGGATGAGTGCGTTAGCACGGGGAGCTAGCCTGAAAACCGCCAGGTCGCTTTACAGGCTCCCTGAAACGGCCGTCCAAGGGGTCTCCAACCCCAGCGCCTGCTAACTGGGTGTAGATCGGGTTTGTGATGCAGCCTGATCTGAAGGCAGGAGTGGGAAAAGACGGGGCCAGAACGGGAGGCGTTTGCAGAAAACAGCAGAAGGGTCGACGCGGTGCTCCCCTTCCGCTTGCTGCAGGGCCGCAGAAGGCGGTAACGTTATTCCCAGAGCCTCTTCGTAGCAGGATCAGCCATGTTCCCGGCTGCTGAGGGCCAAAGACCGGAAAGTCAGGGCCTAAATGAAGTTGGCGCGGTGTCTGCGGGGCCGGGGAGGGGAGGACGGGTGCCCTCGCGCCGCCCCCCCTCCCCGACGCCTCGCTGGGGACGAGGTGGGGAAGCGCCTTGGCTGGGGGACGCGCCCCCGGGCGTTCGC